GGATTTAGCTCAGTGGTTCTGCCGCCTGCCTTGCAAAAAATCAGACCAGAAATTAATACAATGGAGACTAAAAAAAAAATACAAAGAATCAATGAATCAAAGATTTGCTTCTTTGAAAGATTAAATAAAATTGACAAATCCTTAGCCAACTTTAAAAAAAAGGTATAAAAAGACTCAAATTCATGTAATTAGGAATGAAAAAGGTGAAATCACAGCAGATATTTAAGAAATCCAGAAGATCATCAATACCTACTTCGAGAACCTGTATTCTAATAAGATGAAAAATACAGAAGAGATTGACAGATTCCTAGATACACATGAATTACCAAAACTGAATCAAGAAGATATAGAAATTCTAAATAAAACAATTATCAGCCAGTGAAATTACAGATGTAATTGAAGATGTAAAAACTTGCCAGCAAAGAAAAGCCCAGGCCCTGACAGAGTCAGTGCTGAGTTCTATAAGAAATTTAGAGAAGGCCTAATCCTGCTACTTCTCAAACTCTTTAATAAAACTGAAAGGGAAGCAATACTCCCAAATTCATTCCTGGAAGCAAGCATTACTTTGATACCCAAACCAGAGAAGAATTCACCCAAAAAAGAGAACTAAAGGCCAATCTCCCTAATGGTCATAGATGCAAAAATCATCAATAAGAGACTGGAAAACAGAATACAGCAAATCATCAAGAAGATTATACACCATGACCAAGTAAGATTCATCCAAGGGATGCAGAAATGGTTCAGCATATCCACATCAATAAATGTAATACACCATATTAACAGAGTCAAGGACAAAAATGATACGATCCTCTCAATAGATGCAGAAAAACATCTGACAAAGTCCAACACCCATTCGTAATAAAAATCCTACAGAAAAATTGGAATAGATGGTCTCTATCTCAATATGATAAAAGCCATCTATGACAAACCAACAGCCAACATCATACTAAAGACAAAAACTGAAAGCTTTCACTCTAAAATCAGGAACAAGACAAGGATATCTATCCACTGTCACCATTCTTGTTCAATATAGCTCTGGAAACACTAGGCAAAGCAATGAGACAAGAGAAAGAAATAAAAGAAATAAGGACAGGAAAGGAAGAATTTAAATTACCATTATTTGCAGATGACATGATACTCTACATAGAAGATCCCAAAAACTCTAGACTTCTAGGTTTGATAACCAAATTTAGTGGCATAGCTGGATACAAAGTCAACACTCAACAATCACTAGCTTTCCTGTACACAAATAACAGACTCATGGAGAGAGAAATTAGAGAAACAATCTCTTTTGCTATAGCATCCAAAAAAATGAAATACCTAGGAATCAATCTAACGAAGGAAATAAATGACTACAGTACTCTGGAAAAGGAGATCAAAGAGGATATCAGAAAATGGAAAGATATCCCTTGTTATTGGATAGAAAGAACCAATTTAGTGAAAATGAACATACTTCCAAAATTGTTATAAAGATTTAATGCAATCCCAATCAAAATTCCAACAGCATATCCCACAGAATTAAAAAAAAGAAAAACAGTCCTGAAATTCATTTGGAACCAGAAGAGACCTAGAATACCAAAATCAATTCTGGGCAACAAAGGCAAGGTAGGGGGAATCACAATCCTG